ACCAGCCCGCTGGGTCCTGCAGCACCTCACCCCAGGACATCCTAAGTCAGGGTGGATATTAATAGGCCGACCTTTGGAACAGTGTGGGTGGCGAGCCAGCGAGAAGAGCTGGATGGCCAATCCCTGGAGACCAGAGGTTAGAACAGCCCTTGCCCTCAAGGGTATTTTGGTCCCCAAACGCCTGACCCACAGACTTCCAGGTGCTGGCTAGTTTAGGGCCTGCAGCTGGCCACCCTGGGGAGGGCATGGGGGTGGGAGCAGGAAGCGAGCAACCTGCTGACCTGGATGGGATGTGGAACTTTGCCTTGGCTGGATCTGTACATGAGTGGCGTTGTGCATGCAGACCCTGGTGTCAGGAGGCAGGATGTCCGCGTGCACGTTGGACATGGGGCCAGGGTTTTCCAGGCAGGTGCAATGGAAGAAACAGGGTACAAAGGAGTTGAGGATGCTGGGTGGAGCAAGCAGTGGCTGAGAACTTAGGACAAAGTTCTGTAACCAGCAACCAAAGGGCTGGAGAAGCAGGGGTCCCTGCTATTTACTGAGCACCTGCCTTGTGCCAGGCACTTTACATATTCCACCTAATCATTCCAACCAGGCTCGTCAGTCAGTCCTGTCATTCTCATTTGTTAGATGAGGAAACCGCAGTTCAGAGAGGTTATGTACATTACCCCAGGTCACTCAGCTAGTGAGAGTGCAGGCAAGACTTGAACTCTGGTTTCCCTGAATCTATAACCAGACCTTTGCTCACCTTCTGATGCTGAATAAGTGCATGAGAGTTTGGAGGGTCAGAGGTGAGATTAACATTTATGATTCGACAATGGCTGCCCTTAAGTTCTTTTTTTAAATTGAAAATTTTATTGAGATAATTGTAGATTCACATAAAGTTGTAAGAAACAATACAGAGAGAGCCTGTATTTCCCCAAGGGTAACATCTTGCAGATCTAAAGGACGATGTCATAGCCAGGATATCGACATGGGTACAATCCACCCATCTTTCGATTTCCCGGTCTTATGTGTGTGTGCATTTAGCGCGCTACAATTTTATCACAGGTGTGGATAGTTAACTTCTTTTTAGCGTGTCTGTTTCCCTACTTCCTTCACATTTTTCGTTGCTCTTCTCTCATTCTAATGTCAGAGGCCTAAGGGGTTAGTTTACTGATCCTGGGGGGTGGGGTAAGTGGGGGCAGGAGTTGGGCGCGTTTGGAAACATATGGGGGTGGTTTTTGATTGTCACAATGCCTTGGGGCCAGGGAAACTATATGTCACCCACAGTGAAGAAGTGCCCCACTGCAGATGTCAATCACAACCCTCGTTCAGAGTAAAATCAGACGATGCCCATGTTTCCAAGCGCATCGTTAATCTGTTCTAACGCGAAGTGATTCTTTCTGACAGGAGGTGCACTGCGACGTTGACAAGTCGAGAAGAAGGATTATGTTGGATGGGAAGTGCGTTATTACTGCCACCTTGATGTGCCCTTAAGGTGGGGTAGACTCAGGGAGCAGCATATTGTTGGAGATGATTCACAGGGTGACTCACTCCATAAAGAGGCTCCGGAGGGAACGTGCTCTCCCAGGCACGCCACTCTGGGCGCCATCTCCAAGGGAACCGCACTCGGCAGTCACCGAGAACATAAAGGCTTCTTTGCTCATCAGAGAAAACATGCCAGTTATGTTTCTCTGATTTAAGAACATAATATAATTCTTACCAGGCCTAACACTTTTTAAAAAAACACGCTTTTTATTTTCAAATAGTTTTGGACTTAGGGAAAAGTTGCAGAGACCGTACCGCAGACCCTCCCAGCCCCCATTTCTCCTTTTATTCACATCTTACATCAGGATGTCCGTCTGCCACACTTAATGAATCAATATTAAACGAGGGACCATTCTTTATTCAGGTTTCCTTAGTATCTACCTAATGTTCCTTTTCTGTTCCGAGATCCCACGTGATGTTGCATTGTCGTGTCTCCCCAGGCTCCTCTCGGCCGCGACAATTTCTAGTCCTTTTTCACAATTGCAAATTCATTCCCATCCAGCCACAGCTTCTACCTCCCAACTCTCACGTGTGCTCACCTTCACGCCTGTGGCTTTTTGCCTCTAATATGACGGATTCTGGAGCCCAGATGTTCCCGGAGCTTCTAACAGGTATAGGCAACAGCACACCCAGTTTGTTCAAGACCAAGTTCATCTTCTTCGTCTGCTCTCGGCCTACTCATGCTCCGTGGGGCATCACCCCCTTGAAAGCCCCGTATTTGGGAGGCAGCCCAACTCATCCTGCTCCCCAATCTCTTGACTGGGAGCCGCCAGTCCCTTTTCTTCCCTCCTGTGCTGCGCTTCCTGACTGTCACCTCCTCTCTCCTCCTCCATGACCGCCACCTTGGTTCTGGGCCAGATCAGCACTGTCTGGATTGGTAGATCACTTTTCAATGCCTTCTCCATTTCTAAAAGCCTTTTCTCCTCTGGGTCATTCTCGGCCCAGACTCATGAGTTCCTCTGCTTTTCAAAAACCCTTGGGTGGCTCCGGTGCCAGTGGGATGAAGTCCTCGCTCCTGAGCACAGCACAGAGGTTGATCTGGGTCCTGCCATGGCTGCTCATCCTCCCGCCTCCCCCCTCCACCGCGCCTTTGGCTCACTGGCAAATCCAAATCCTTCATCATCATCTCAACTTCCCTAGTGGTCTTCTGCCTTTTCGTGTTTTTCTGGAAAATTCTCTCCATCCTCTTACCTTTCTATTCAAATCTTCAAACCCTGTGGGGGTCACCCCTCCTCTGGAGAGCCTCCCCTGTCTTTCTCCCCTTGTATAGCCACCCCCCCAGGTTTTCGCATTATGTATCACACTATATTGTAATTAATTGATACACAATGACCTTGGGCTGCCAGAACAAAGTACCACCTAAACAGAAATTTATTTTTTCACAATTCTGGAGGCCGGAAATCTGAAATCAAGGTGTTGGCAGAGGCAGTTCCCTCTGAGGCCTCTCTCCGTGGCTTGCAGATGGCTCCTCTGTGCGTCCTCACATGGTCTTCCCTCTGTCTGCGTCTAGATTTCTTCTTACAAGGACACCAGTCATATTGGATCAGGGCCCATCCTAATGGCCTCATTTTAACTCAGTGGCCTCTTTAAAGACCCTATCTCCAAATGCAGCCATTCTGAGGTCCTGGGGGTTAGGCCTTCAACATCTGAATGTTAGGGGACACAATTCAGCCCAAAATAGGGCTCTTCCCTTTCTTCCTATAAGCTCCTTTGGTCCTCAGCTTCCTGGGAGAGCTGGCCCTAAAGTGTCAAGGACTTGAGACTCACAGGGTCCAGGTTCAAATCCTGCGTCTTGTGCAAACCTTGGGAGAGGAATCCGAACCTCAGGTTATAGAGTCTTCATCTCCAGAATGACACCCTCGAGCTTGCTCTTGTGTGAGACTAGATTTCTAATCAAGTGTCTGGCGTGTGCCCCGTGGTCAGCACATGGGAGCAGTCACTATCCTCATGCCTTGCAGAACTTTCTGCAACGATGGAAGTGTTCTATATTTGTGCTGTCCTGTGTGGTAGATGCTAAGCTGCACGAGGCTATCGAGCACTTGAAATGTGGCTAGTATGACGGAGGAACTGAAAATTTAATTTTAATTAATTGAAACTGAAGTAGCCACATGTGGCTAGTGGCTGCAGCACTGGGCAGCACAGCCCGGTGTACCAGGGGCCCACGGCCTGTCCCAGAGTGTTCCTGCATAGGCCCTGACATGCTCCTGTCCTGGCTGTGAGTCCATTCCCCTGGCCATGTCTCCGTGCCAGACGCCACTCTGTGACCCCCGGGAATCTTGCTTATTTTGCCTCGGGAAAGCACTGTCCAGTGCAGAGGGGGCCAGATTATGCTGGTGGCAGGCAGGCAGGCCAGGGGCCATTAAGTCTCTAGCAGCAGTCCTTTGAAAGGCCAAGGGAACACTTGTGAAGCCCCCTATGGATCTGCCTCTCTCGGGTGGTACCAAGCCCTTCTCCACCTGGATGTCCCAAAGGGCAGCAAAAGTCAACTGATCTTAGCTCCATCTGACCTCTTCCCCTACCCAGTGAAGGCTCCAGCCCTCCCACTGCCCCACCATCCAGCAGCTAGGAAGCAGGGCTCATCCCAGTCACCTCTGTTTCCTGCTTAGGAGTCACTCCCCTCCTGAGTCCACTTCTCTATCTCTGCAGCCCCTCCCAATAATCCAGGGCGGTCACCTGCCCTGATTACTTCAAAGCTTGGATCATAGCCCCAGCTTTGTGACCCAGCCCCACCCAGGGTTAAAATCCTTGTTGCCCTCAGGACTCCGCATAAAAGACCTAGCCCCTTATCAGGTTTACAAAGCCCTCTTTGACCTGCCCCGCCCCCAGGCTCATCTCTTCGTGTTATTTTCCTCCCTTCAGGATACAGCTTCCCTTTTATTCTGGAGACTTGTTCTTTCTTGCCTCCAGGCCTTTGCACAATCTGGTCTCCGCCTTGAACACGGTTCCCCCGCTGGGGATAACTCTCGCTCACAATTTCCTCCTCTCCTTCAGCATCTTTTTCTCCGGGAAGCCCTCCCCGATGGAATCTTGTCTCCCCATTCGGCATCCCAGACGACCGTCCCAGCACTTTCTCTTTTCTTCCCCGCATTCGTGCGTGCATTCATCCACTCCCCGGATTGTGTATCATGCAACTCACTACAAAATGCCACAGACTGCTGGCGACACAGGGCAGGGCAAGAAAGACAGGTCCCGGACCTCCTGGAGGTCACTTACGTTCTTGAAAGAGAAGATTAAAGATGAAAAAAGTGGACATAGAAACAAAAAAACACAAACTGTGCTCTAGGAAGAAAACAAACACATGCTAGGACCGGGCCCCCCCCCCGCGCCCGGACACCACGGCTGGGGGCGGAGCCCGGCCGCGGCCGGCAGGGGGCGCGGAGGGGCGGAGCGGGAGGCCGCCCCGCCTAGGCCCCGCCCCTCGCGCGCTGGCCCCGCCCCCCGCCCGCCCCCGGCCCGGCCCCGCCCCCGGCCGCTGTGCGCGCGCTGGCCCGGCAGCATGGCGGCGGCGGCGGGCGCCCCTCCGCCGGGTCCGCCGCAACCTCCTCCGCCGCCGCCGCCCGAGGAGTCGTCGGACAGCGAGCCCGAGGCCGAGCCCGGCTCCCCGCAGAAGCTCATCCGCAAGGTGTCCACGTCGGGCCAAATCCGCCAGAAGGTGAGCCCGCGGCGGCGGCCCGGGCGCGCGCCCCTCTCGTCGCGGCAACCCCGTGAGGCCCACGGCCCGTCCGAGCAGCCGCCCAGGCCCGGCCCGGCCCGGCCCGGGGTTCCGCCGGGCGCCACTGCCGGACGGACCGCGCTCGGCGGGGTAACGGGCCGGGCGGAGCGCGCCCTGCCGGCGGGGCGGCGGGGACCGGGCCGGGGGCGCAGGGGGGCCGGGCGGGCCGGGGGTGGCCGCCTGCTGGGCCCGAGGACGCCCCGTGCCGCGAGGACCCCGGGGAAACTGAGGCCTAGAGGCCGGGGTCGAGCGCTCCGGAAAGGGGGCTCCTGGCTGCGCCCCGCAGGCGTGCGCTCACCGAGCTCCGGGTCTGCACGTTTCTGGGGACTGCTCGGGTTATTTCCCGCCGGTGCCCTGCAGACTCACCTGTGGTCCCCTGAGATCTGCGGTGGGACCCGGGTGTGGGGCTCTTTCTTCCCTCTCGTGTCTTTGCGTGCCCGAAAGGGAAGGGATGTGCGTTGTAGGACCGGCTCGCCCGCCGGCCTCCGGAGAGCGGGGACAGGGGGCTTTCCCTGGCCGCGCACCCCCCTTGGTCCCTAACTCTCCGTGGAGCAGTCCAGACGCTAAATCTTTGCTGCAGAAAGGCGCATTTCCTTTCTGCGGGAGGAAAGTTGCGCCCTTTGTTTTCCCATTGCGGTTCCTGTTGGAAACTGCTTATGGTTTTCGCTAAGGTGAGCCCTCTCTGTTAGAGCACGGCTTTCTCAGGCAGGTGGCTGGACAGGTGGCTGAGGGCAGGCTGGGTCTGTGGGCAGCCCCGGCGGATCCAGCTGGCACAGACTTTCTCATCCTGCTGCAGTGCGCTTTTCCTCCGGGGCCAGTTAGGTTCAGCTGCTACTTGGACCGTGGGAGCCATTTCTTGCTTGATCTTCTGTCAGCGTTTGATACCTATGGTGGGTAATCTTTGGTCCTGACATGTTGCAAACAGGTTTATTGTGAAGTGCTCCAGTCATTCAGCAGTTAGGTATTGAACACCTCTTTTGTTCCGGGAATGACAGTCACAGTAATAATTATAATGATGGCAATTCTTCACTGCTTACTATGTGCCAGGCACTTTTCTTCGGTTAACTTGACAGTGCTTTACCTGGGTTTGCTCATTTAGTACTGGTGGTAACTCGTTGAATTGGCTGTTACCTGTCATCCCCATCTTATGGAATTGGAAATTGAGGCAGAGAGGTTAAGTGACTTGCCTAGGGTGTCACAGGGTAATAAATGAAGATCTGGATCTGAGCCCTGCTCAGGATCCCAAGATGGAAGGCGATTTCTCCATCTAGGGGCTCCCGGTCTGTAGGAGACGGACACCTGTGTATGAGACCCTATGACATAGTAAGTGCTGTGAAAGCTCAGAGGACCAAGCCTCCAGCTACGGTGGGAGGCAGGGATGACGAGGTCCCATTTAAGGCAGGATCTTGAGGGAAAGACTTTGCCAGGTGCGGAAGGAAGGGCTTTCCAAATAGCTGAATATTGTATTTAAAGGTTTAAGCACACTTGGGGATGGTCAGCAGGTGAGTGGATCAGGTTGAGAGGAATTAGGAAAATGCTGGAAGGGTAGATCGGGGCTGGATTTTGAAGGACTAGCTCTAGAGTTGGGTTTTTGGCCTTGGGCAAGAGGGAGCCCCAGAGGGTGGTTCAAAGCATGGGGGTGACCAGTCAGATGTGCTTTTAGGAAGATCTCCAAGGAGCCCTAAACAACATTGATACGAGTTGCTCCATCCTCGGGCGTGGTGTGTGCCCAGGGTGGGGTAGATCATCTGATTTACAAGTGTGGTTAAGATTTGATCTCTCAGAGATTCCAGTATTTGTCCAGAATTCTGTTCTTTAGGAGGCATTTTTTTTCCCCCTAAAACAATAGCTGCTGTACCAGCTGTTCTGGTTGAGGAGGAGTGATGGGTAGAGTGTTAAAAATACCCCCTGCGGGCTTGAGTTTCTGAATCCAGTCACGTCTGCTGTACGAGGCTGATTTTTCTTTTGGGCTGTCGGAGATGGTCAGAATGGGGACATGTGAGGTTTACTGTGTGTGCAGTAGCTATCTTTTTTTTTTTTTAAGTATATAAGCCATTGAGAAGATTCCTCTGGTATGTGTGGTGCATAAGAAAAATATCCAAAATGTTATGGGATATCATTCTGGGTCCTAAAAGGAAAAACAAACCCACTTTAAGTATTTAAAACAGAGGAAATTTAATGTAGGAGAGTGGTCACGCAGTTGATAAAGAATTGAGAATGCAAACAGTGGACAATGAGGCAACCCTGAGATGAGGCAATGAACAGGAAACCACTGCCACTGCTAAGCTGGAGGACAGAGAGAGGAGGCGGCATGTGAGACTCTAGGAGCAGCTGCCGTCCCTCAGAAGCTGGAACCACCTTGGATTGTCTGGGGGGCTGGAGCCTTGGGAGGGCGCAGCTGCTGCTGCTGGACACTCACCCGTCTCCCCTCCTGCTTGGGAAACCCAGCCTGCAGGGGTCAGCCCCTCCGCCACTTGGAGTAGAGCAGAAGAGCGAGGAATGGAACTGAGGACAAGCTGGCCCAGGACTGGAGCTGTATGTATGTCAGGTTTTTGAAATATTAGTCCAGTGCAAGCTAAAGCTGTGTTAATGGAGGAAAAAAAGCAAGTGTCTTATGACAGTGTTTCTCAAATTTTAATGTACAGACACATCCCCTGGGGATCTTGTTAAAACGCAGATTCCGGTTGAGTAGGTCTGGGGTAGGGTCTGACATTCTGCATTTCTAATCAACTCCCAGGAGATGCTGCTGGTCCCTGGACCAGACTTTGAGAAAGATCATCTTAGGACATATGTGTAAAGAGAAGCCTTACCAAACTCCAAATAAATCTTTAGTTTATGAGGTTCTTTTAAAAACTTTTCCCCAAATATTTAGCATACTGAAAATTTGATGTGTGTGGAATTGGGATGGTTATTTATTAGTTTAGAATTTCATGCTTGTCTGAGGTTTTTTTATGTGTCACCTGTCTTCAGCAAATGCATTACTCCATCTGTATTTCCCAACCATAGTACACCATAATGACTCTGTAGGACCACAAAGCTAGAGTGGAAAAAAGAAAATGGAGCCAATATAGTCACCAATAAATTAATTCATGAGCACTTTATAAGGTATTTTGAAATTAAAGTAAAGAACAATGTGATTCTGTGAAGCTTATTAGTTAGGATAGCATTTAATTTAAAGGTTTAAAAAAGTTAACATTTTTGGTCTGGTGCATAAAAGTGCTTATATTCCTGATTTCAAATTTAAGCATTTTTTCCCTTATGAAATGAAGACTAGTAGAAATTAGGTAAAAGGTTCAAGTTGTAACAGACTTAAAAAATTAACAGCTTTATTAAGATATAATTCACAGACCATGGAGTTCACTTTTTTGAAGTCTGCAGTTTAGTAGTTTTTACTACATTCAGTTTTGCAACCATTACCACAATCAATTTTAGAACATTTTCATCATCCTAGAAAGAAACCACATAAATATTAACATTCACTCCCCATTTCCTCCCCAACTCTCTCAACCTTAGGCAACTGCTAATCTACTCTCTGTCTTATGGATTTGCCCATTCTGGACATTTCATATATAGTTATGCACCGCATGAAGACGTTTTGGTCAGCAATGGACCGCATGTACAATGGTGGTCCCATAAGATTAGTACCGTATAGCCTAGGTGTGTAGTATGCTGTACCATGTAGATGTGTGTAAGTGCACTCTGTGATGTTCACAATGATGAAATCACCTAACGACACACTTCTCAGAAGGTATCCCCATCATTAAGTGACACGCAACTGTAAATAGAATCATGCAACATATGCCTTTCATGTCTGGATTCTTTGACTTAGCATAATGTATTCAAGGTTCATCTGCGTTGTAACATGTGCCAGCACTTCATTCCTTTTCATTGCTGAATAATATCCCATTGCATGGATACACTACATTTTATTTACATTCATCAGTTGATGGATATTTGGGCTGTTTCTGCTGTTTGGCTATTCTGGATAATGCTGCTGTGAACATTCACGTGCATGTTTTTGTGTGGACATATGTTTTCATTTGGTAACTCTGTGCTTAACCTTTGAGAAATTGCTGGACTATTTTCCAAAATGGCTGTACCATTTTACATTCCACAGCAACATATGAAGTTTCCACTTTCTCCACGTCTTCAATTATTATCTGTCTGTTTGCTTATAGCTGTCCTAGTGGGTGTGAAGTGGTGTGAAAGGTTTTTTAATGCTAGCATGTAGTAGTATTTAAGGGCCTAAACTTCGGCGTCAAATGAAGTTGGTTCATGTTCTGTTCTCCCACTCGGAGACACATGATCAAGGACGAGTTTCTAAGCCTCTCTTGACTTGTTTCCTCTCTGTCAACAGGGAAGATATTAGTTCTTGGGTCAGCAGTAATGACAATAAATGTTAGCTGTGTGTTCGTGAGCCTCAGTTTCCATATCTGCACAGTAGAAATGATAGTAATGGTTCTCAGATCTGTAAAATAGAAATGATGAATGATGATAACTCAGACTGAAATGGGGTGGTCTATGTACAACACTTATCACGATGCCTGGCATATCGTAAGCATTCAATAAGTGATTGCTTTTATGATTTTTTCTTTCTGAGTGTTCACTTGTTTGTATCCCAAATACTAGCCATCTCCCTGAACCCCTTTTCCCCCAGCTGCAGCTGATCTGGGTGAATCTCCATCTCTAGCAGACAGGAGCAAATAAAAACAAATTCCTGGGGCCCAGCCGGGTGACGCAGCAGCTAAGTTCGCACCTTCTACTTTGGCAGCCTGGGGTTTGCCGATTTAGATCCTGGGTGTGGACCTACACACTGCTTGTCAGGCCATACTCCCACGTATAAAATAGAGGAAGATGGGCGCAGATGTTAGCTCAGATCAGGGCCAATCTTCCTCAGCAAAAAGAGGAGGATTGGTGGCAGATGTTAGCTCAGGGTTAAT